TGAAAACAAGATATTATATATATATATTTATATATATATATGGTGAATGACCACATACCCGTAATGGTTGTGCACGAATTACTGCTAGTTTTCGCTGTTCCGACATCCCTTTGTGTTCTTCTCTTAAACCCGCCTTCGCAAACTTCCGCCGTCTGGTTTCGTAAGCTTTTTGCGCTTGGCCGATCAGCTCGGTACGATGTTGCTTAATCTTTCCCAGTGTTTGATCACAGCCAGGATGTAGCCTCTCCAGCTCTTCGAGTGAATCGGTCAGTGCATCGGCGTGGAGTTGTTCTAAGTTTACAAGCGTTTGGGCTGAAGGGATTTCATCGAATTCCTAGGAAAGGTGAGGAAAGTAACCGAGAAAATATTTAGAATGTCAATCGTTCTAGGTAAATTTGGTTGAAATTGCACGTTAACCTCAAGTCCCGTCCCTCTAATTTACCACTTAGAATGCGCACAGTTACTTCCTAATTCATGAAGCAATTCGAACAAAATCGATCGATTGATGACCTTGCTCGTAGCCCTGAACAGTGAACCAGTAATGGATAGAAAAGCGTCATCCAAAACCAAGAATCCGCAGCGATTTGGTCTTTCCTTAGGCTTCCATCTTCCTGTTTGACCAGAGCAACGATTTGTGTGTGCGCGTGTGGAGTAATATCTCTACCGGATATACATGTTTGTACACTAAACGACATCCTTCGTCTTAAAAAATAGACAATTGTCTAAAACACTATATTAGGTTGAGTGCAAATGTTTGCACTATTTCCTGGCTACGCTGTTCAAAGGCTGAGGTGATCAAAAAGTTAAATCAATCAGGTTCAAAAGTACCCGGAGGACAGAATTGAAAAATTAGATAACTCCGTCCAATTTACTTCTGGATAAAAAGGAACGCGTTATAGCTAAGGAAGGATCCCTGTAAACGACCAAGATTTTGACCCGGGCCGTCATCGAAAAAGAATTTTCGTACTATTGACATATACAATCCAAATGTTCTTCCATCCCGTGGGTCTCCTTAAGGAGTCTAACTAGACAATTCTATCAACAAACATCATGTGAGTAGATGCTGGTTGGCTGGGGATTACCAGGCATGCTCCTGCTTAGATGAAATGACCATTAGTCTACCCTAGCGTTTTAACTCATCAACGTCTGTTGCAACCTTATTTCAAGTAACAAGTGCTCAGCCAACTAAAAATAACATCATAATCTCCCAGACGTTTTTTACACAGTAAACGATGGGAGTGCCCTTTTGGAGAGATCGCTAGGTAAACTAGGACCGGCAAGATCACTGTGAACTTAATTTTCTATGCTGGCCTATTCGTCTTATAAAGGAACACCGTTGGTTTTTCACTTTAGGAAAAGAGACAATTCTCTACGAGCATTGGTGTGCCAACCTTTCGCTGAGGCATCCTATAACCACTGGCGACCAGAAACTGCAATATGAAGTTTGGTCCGAGCTACCCACAGTTACAATAGCTTAAATACAAAGGTTAAAATAGTCTCTCGGACGTAAGTCGTTATCATCCTCCTCCTCCTCCTCCTCATCATCATCATCATCGTCATCGTCAAGGCCATTTCACTAGTGAGCACCTGTTCAGCTAGTAAGGGTGCACAAGTGGCCAATAAACTGTTCTCATTAGCTGAGGAACTCCAGCAACAGTGAGTTACAAAAGTATATCAGTTTAGCGAGAAATCTTAAAGGGTGGTATTGAAATTGTTTTGTTCAAGGAAAAGGGATTTACACTTTGGACTTCAATTTACTTGGAACTTCGAAATCAGCCTGTGGAATACATCAACCATGTGCTTTGACGCAAGTAATTGCACATGTTCTCGCTCAGCCGTCAGTAAGCGTTCTTCATTTATGGTACGACGGTACGACGCCAAATTAAATACTTTCCTGAATGCTCATCATCCTATCGCAACCGGACAGTTTAGCGGACAGTGAACTTTTCAACTTTGCTACGCAACGATGCACCGATGTTGCTGTCTTTATTGATGCTGAAAAGTTGGCACCTCAGATGCTTGATGGTGGGCAGACGAACCAAAAGCCCATCTTTAGCACAAGAGGAATTGTGCTGTTGAAGAATTTTCAGCAACCTTGTGAGTAGTTTCCTTGAGGAATAGTGCAGTTTTCAAGTGAATCCCCAGCATTCCTCGTTCTATTTTTCACAATGAATCACCTTGGTCCTCAAGCCATATAAGTAGGCCAGTGTGTTGGGATGATAAGGTAGTGCACTATTATTTCAATGGTGAGGGTTCGATCTCCACATACAAGCCTTCAAAAATTAGTCGCCCGGACACGTCCTGTACACGAAATGTCATAGAAAAACAGACGAAATAAGTTTTAACATCTCTTTTTTACTTCTTTAAAATCTGGTATGAGTTGAACTGGGAGATCTCACAGTTCTTGCAAGGCTAGTTGTTGAAGTGAATCGATAAGTTTTGCTGATCTAATAGGAAACCGGTGTTTAGCCACTAGCTTGGCACACAGATTGACATTCCCATCACGATATTCTCGTCATATACCAAATGCACGTTGCCAGTCAGTACACACGGATAGAACATGTAAACTATCTGTGTGTACTTTCGCTGCAAGCGTTCAGCTTCAAACAAGTAGTGCGTTTACTTACTTGTTTCAGTATTGATTCATAACGGAGAAAGGCTTTGTTAAAGCAACGATCGATCCCGTCTGTGGGGGGGGGGAAGTAAAAAAAGAGCAAACAAATAATGTCCTCGTTGAACTGGAACCCTCATATTACAACACAGTAAACATTCATGTTGCACTGAGAACAAGTCCTGCCTGTTTTCTGGTCGTTTCGCATCTCATAATTGAACAAATAAGTTCACAAGATGAACAATAGCCTGTTGGGAGAATTTCGAATCATCGTAGAAACGTAACGAGTTTTTGTCAGCACTTTTAACCAGTTTCACTATGAAAGCCGAATGCATATTTTGAAAACGGGAATACAACATCCGGGAGCCAGAAGTAAAGCTGAACAGATGCTTTGATACATGTGCCATCATACAGCACACAACCCACATCACACCAGTGGTTTTCAACTCTGTGTAAACAGACACATCGTCCTGAGGGGATGCTGAAAGCGAACACGTTATCGGGGCAGTTTTTGATGACCGACAATCAAAGTATTTGACTACTGTTGAAAAAAAACATCCGGGTCTACGTCCTCTCAGGTTCCATCGAGCGCCAACCCTGACTGCACTGGTATACCTCGCTGACTGGAATACAAAGTAGCAACCAGTTTGTAAATGCCCTTGAGCTCGCCATCCAACTCAAGAAAATCAACAGAAATAAGGGCGTTTACGTGTGCATTCGATAGCGCATGTGATCAAAGAGGCGTTTCTAAACATGTCTTCAAGTTTACCAGACAAACAACGCACTTTAGTGGAATCTTTTTGTTCAAATCACTCCTCCGACTTTTAGCCCATTGAATCTTCTTGTAATTTAGACGCTTCGAAGCACAAATTAATTTAGTTGAACTTGTGGAATTATCAATCTACCAGACTGATCTTTGAAAGCTACCTTAGAAATTCGAAAGTACAGTTATCTGGGGAAATTCTGTTGTTCGTCAAACGACCAGCCCAAACGCCCATCTATTGAAAGCTAGTGAAAGTTGGCGCAAATTTTCTCTTTTTGTACACAAGGAAAGGAATGTCGGATAATAAACGCGGCTTTTCAAAGATCCGGGGCTTACTTAGTTCAGAAGTGAAGAAACGTGATGTAGAAAAAACATCTTTTTTGCAAGACTATTTTGAAACTAATCTAATATCACTTAATAATAACGCATACGAAGCGATGGACTCAGGCACACAATCGAACTATTTTAGTTTAATTCTGACGTTTGACTACCTGCATTCTTGATGAGTCCATCGACTTCCGATGGAAGACAGTCTCAAACAAACGGTCTTTCGCAGTACCTTTGAAGTGGCAGGTATGGAGAGGGATAACACCACTGACTGTCAACACAAATGTTAACCTTCCAGCAACTTGTCTGTGTCTTGTAGGTTGACCTCTTAATTATATTCAAAAATTATATTAAAAAATTGGGTTCATTCTTGGCAAAATGGCGTGGGATGAGCCCTATTTTTTTGCCAAGCCTTAGAAGTAGGCAAAGTACGACTTGAGCGGTTGGAAAGGACTAGGCTTTATTTTCACCGGTTGATTGATTTCACCTAACCCATTGAAGGAATAACGGTTATATATCTTGGCTAGCAAACAACTTGTCGACAAATTGCGAATGGGACGATGCTACTACCCGTAAGAGAAAGATTTCAGCCACAATCAAAGGTGTATGGGTCAGTCTAAAATGAGCAATGAAAAGTTGTTAACAAACTACGGTACGATGGTTCTGGTGTCAGCTCGGCGTTCGCATTCAGATAGGTTATTCACAACCTTGACAGACCGTGGCCGTATTAGTCAGAGAACTAATCAGTCAATGTACGGGCCCAAATACGAAATGGGTCAGGCATTCAGGAACATGACAATAAGCAATGAAAAGAACAACAGAATACCGCTTACGGTCATCATAGCTGGCCTGGCTGCGTTAGGCTCGGTTCCCTGAGCGCAAGCGCAACCAACTCGTAGCATGACGATGATATTACCCGTAAGAGAAAGAATTCCTCCACAATCAAAGGTGTATGGGTCAGTCTAAAATGAGCAATGAAAAGTTGTTAACAAACTACGGTACGATGGTTCTGGTGTCAGCTCGGCGTTCGCATTTAGATAGGTTATTCACAACCTTGACAGACCGTGGCCGTATTAGTCAGAGAACTAATCAGTCAATGTACGGGCCCAAGTACGAAATGGGTCAGGCATTCAGGAACATGACAATAAGCAATGAAAAGAACAACAGAATACCGCTTACTTACGGTCATCCATAGCTGGCTGCGTTAGGCTCGGTTCCCTGAGCGCAAGCGCAACCAACTCGTAGCAGTCGTTCAGCTGGTCTAACCGTAGGTTCGGCATCAGAGCAGGTGTGTAATCCAGCCAGCCACGGCTGCGGACTGTGTCCTGATTACCGATTGGTCAACATCGTTGATGGAAAGTCACGTGATCAGCACACGTGCTGTGGAATTACACGAGTGGAATAACATACAGCGTTGCCGATAGCGAAAAAAAGGCAGTTGATTTTGAATTACGAACAAAAAGTTTCTCCATATGCCGTTCGGAAAAAATACATTTTGAGCAGTCGCAACGTAACGCCGCTCCAAATAACTTTTGGTGGTGAGATTCGACGTTCTATTGCGCACCTTGTCCAAAGACCCTATCTGTGATCCCTCTGTATTATACGACAAAATGCGCTTCGCTTTTTGAAATCACAACAGAGAGAAAGGACACCACATAAGTTGAATTAACCCGGATGCATCCGAGCACGTTCCCGACAGACTTAACCAGAAGTCATTCCAAACTTTTAAATTGTTATAGATTGGCCGGCTGAGAGTATTTTTTAAGAGACCAAGTATCACCAACTGCAAAGTGTGCATGGATGACGCCGGAAGGTTTGTGATTTTTACCGCCTCACTTGTAATATTGATTTTGAAAGATGTTTCGTAGTTCGTTTGGTTCTGCCGAACTGAAAATCACCGCAACTTCAGGTGGACTGGTATGTGACAATATTGGAAGCCGAAACGCACTTTGATTGTTCGACTGAAACCAAACAGGTTTAGTTCGAGATGGATAGAGTCTTTGCCAACTATGCGTCAGTGTGTGAGCTTCTTTGAATGATTAGTGTTTCCGCTTTCGGTAACCTGTCACCTGTGTGTATGGTCTTGATCTACAAAGAAAGCTGATGACCTACATGATTCAAATAACAATGGTACGGGAAATTCGGTGCTACATAAGGCGATTTTCTCAGAAAACTCTTCCA